GCACGTGCATTATACAGTAATACGTAGTAGTCATAGCAGTAGACAATATGACAGGAGAATAAATACAAAGATATGGAATCACCTAGCTGTCGCCGGAACACTCGTTTTGGTGTAAGCAGCAGTTCTCAGGCTGGCATTCCTAAACCTGAAGATGGCGTAGATGGAGCAACAGTTCTTAGTTGTTCATAATTCATAAATGTGCATCAGTCCTACAAAAAATAGACAACAAATACATATGCAATGGTTAATGGAGGCAACAGAACCTGGGGATGTTAATCAGATAAATGATGGTTCTGTATAGTATGCATTGCAAAACGTTCACTATGGTAATGTATAAGGACTCAGTCAAACAAATACACTGGCCTAGTAAAATCAGATCTCACCTACCTGAGCCAAAGACTTGCCTGTCTATCCGTGCACCTAACTTGACAAAAACCCTGAATGGCAATCAAATTCCTCCTCAACGGAAACTGCAGGGCAGCAGTACGGAATAAGCAAAGCAGAGTATGAGACGGAGAAGAGCGAGGTGAGGAGGCGGGTATGACCTCACCGACTGGAAGGATCGACCCGAGGAGGTCGCCACGCCATCGACCGTGTCCACCTCATACGACTCAACTCGAGGCGTATGGAGGCAGGAGGCTAGCCGGTTGGGCGGAGTCGCGGTGGGGTTGGGTCGCCGTGCCGGAGACTGGCTACGCCGCTGTGTTTGCGCACACCTGCAGGCGCCGACGGTGACGCCGGAAGGGGTGGAGCCGCGGGTGGCGGGCAGCAGGCGGTAGGGCGGGCCGGACCGGTCGGGCCGTGCACCGGAGCCGTCAATGCCGAGGTTAGGGCGGCGGAGGGTGCTGTGGCGGTGCGGCCGTCGGTATGGGACAGCGCACTGGGGCGGCGTACGACAGGGAGGGCGGCGCACAGCAGGCTGGGGCGCCGGAGGTTGCATGGGCGTCGCGGCTCCAGGCGGCCCCCGCCACGGGATGGCGCGCGTGGGTGCGGGGCGCAGGTTGGGCGGCGAAGGGGGATGGAGTGGTGCAGCGGCTGGCTTGCGGTCCATGTTTTTTTTTTTGTTGCATGGGTGGGCAGCGCGAGGTTTGTGGAAGCTTCGAGCGGAGACAGGTGGAGGTAAGGGACGCGACAGCTGGTTGGATGGTCGTCGCGTGGCTGATCGGACGGACAGAACGAACTGGTGCCGTGGAAGCAGGAGGTGTTCGTTTTGGTATATAGAAATAAGGTTTATGGTAGACAGATATGGTAGATACAAAAAATAAGGTTTATGGTAGATTTTATACTCAAAGCTTCAAAACTGAGGAGCATAAAACAACAAGAAAAAAGCTAGTCTCGAAGCCACAAAACTAAGGAGCATAAAACAACGAGATGCGAGCTTAAAGACTAAAAAAAGCTAGAAAAAAACTAACCTTTAGAACTTCTTCTCCCTTGCTTTTAACCTATTTTGACTTTGCGTACGAGTAACTCTTCACCTCACACGTTTTCGAGCGGCTACATTCATCTAGTGAAGATAGTATACATTGGCAAGCGCCTCATCTTTTTTTCATCCAAAGATGTCCTCTCCATCCAACATCAAGAACACTCGCACCTCCTACCCAACTAGCGGGTATGGATATGGGAGAAGACACCATGCCGCGAGTACCAGCGGTGGATACGGGTCACTCGTGTGCCAGCGAACCACTATCGAGCAAAACACTAGCAGCCTCGTCCCAACACGATGCCTCCAAGAAGATTTGAGACATCCAATGATGCCGTCGACGCATGACTGAATGAAACTGTGCTATGTTTTCACCCATAGAGAACTATGCCAGTGCAGGAGATGCAACGAGCTGATGGAGAAGGAGCAGACAAGCTAGAAACATGACGACACCTCTAGCGAGGGACACCACACCACAACACTAATATAACGACACATGTGTGTCATTATAAATAATACTAATACCGTTGAACCGTTGGTCGGTATAGCTGCCCCACGGATCAAGTATCGGTAAATGTACCTTTCTCGATGAACTATCGTCGATACAGATACTTACCTATACAGTCTAACTCTCGGTCGGGCTACAGTCGGTATAAGGGCGTGCCACTGGCGCGCTCTGGAAATGATAAAAAGGCTCGTCATGCAAAACTAAAAATGAAACTAGCCCGTTCGCGACCAAATTTGTTCGGCTCAAATACCACCCTCTCCAAACCCTAAACTCTTTTTGTCGCTCAATCTGCAGCTTCCCAGCTCCCCTCGCCTCCATTCGCTAAAAAAGAAACTGCGCCTCCATCGCCTACTACCGCCGCCATCGGAACCTCCGCCGCCGCCGCCAAGCTCCGCCACAGCCACCACATCTCTCCCGTGCTCTAGGTGTCCCGCCCTCTGCCACTCCCGAATCCCGCTCCCTACAGCTAGCCTTCTCATCACTGACACCGCTCATCCCGACACAACCTTCTCATCACTGCCACACAACCCTCTCGTTGTCGCAAAGCCCCACACACCCCCTGCCCCAAGCATCGTTCGTCGATGCAATCCGCTGCCGCCGTAGCATAGCTGTGGGGTACCCACCAGCTCTGACTCCAAGTGGCCCAGCCGCCACTAGCCAGCGTCGCGTCATTGTCGCCATCGGCAACCCTGGCCCGTCAGGAATCCGGCCACTGCAAGTTCTCCGCCCAGATCCAGATGCGGCCGCCTACCGTACATGCCGCCACCGCACGACCACTCGCGCGGCTGCTGCACCTCCTCGAAGCCGGTTGATGCCACCGCACCTCCGCATGCATCAACTCTTGCGCCATCGCACGCGTATTGTAGCCACCGTGCCTAGCATGCGCAGCATCCATTGCCCCTACACAGGTTGTCGCCACGTCGCCACCTAGAAGCCCTTAGTGGCATCGTCGAGCCAGCCCAAAGCAATCCTCGCAGATCTAGCCTGAGGGATGTTGGATCCAGCCACTATGATGCTGAATCTACGCCGTCAGGGAGGACCGGATCTACCATCGCGGAGGAGAACCACTGCGGAGAATCTCTAGAGAAGGATCCAGACAGGCTAGAAGATACACTGAGGTCTTGTTTAGATTTAGGGTGTAAAGTTTTGGGGCATCACATGGATGTTATATGGGGTGTGCGGATACTAATAAAAAAATAAATTATAGAATCCGCCAGTAACCACGAGACGAATTTATTAAGCCTAATTAATCCATCATTAGCACATGTGTTACTATAGCACTTTATTGTCAAATCATGGACTAATTATGCTTAAAAGATTCGTCTCGCAAAGTAGTCGTAATCTGTGCAATTAGTTATCTTTTAATCTATATTCAATAATTCATATATGTGTCAAATATTCGATGGGACATGATATAAAGGTTTGACGGAGGATCTAAACAAGACCTAAACCTAGAGGTGCCAGATCCGGCGACCTCCATGCCAGATGGGGGCTCCGGTAGGTAGAGGGGGGAGCTCCCCATGCGACAGAGTGGGGCAACCGCCCCAGCTACCACGTTGCCATGGAAAAACCCCACCCCTATCGTTTTCCTCCCTCCTGGCATCACCCATGAAGCCACCGGTGGAGCTACATGGGGCCATAGTGGGCCATGGCCCTCTTGCCTCTATAATTTTTTTAAAAAAACTCCATATTATCTCCCTTAACTTTTGTAAAAGTTTACTTTTTTTCTCTGAACTCTAAAACCGGGTAAACTATCTTCTTGAACTTTTAAAACCGTTCGTTTTACCTCTCTGATCGATTATTATAAGTAGTTTTCAAATGCGGTTTTGTCTTTTTCTTTTTTATTTATTTTGGCTGAATTTTAAAAAATCACAGTAAATTACAGAAAAATCATAAAATTAAAAATTCAATTTTATTGTACTCCACATGAGTAGATCTACATAGAAAAAATATATAATATATTATGCTTTAGTATAATTTTTTTGCTATAGGTTTACATCTATGTTTTTCTATCATTAATTCATAGCTGTAGTTTCTATGGTTCAATTATGGTGAATTTTTTATGGTGGACTAATTAGTATATGCTTGAAATATAGTAAAATTTAATACTCATTGGATCAAGTATAACTAGTTATAGATTTATTTAGGTGTATGCTTGTTAAAAAGCATTTATAAATCTATAACTAAGTTATACATGATTCAATGAGTATAAATTTTTACTACAATTCAAGAATATAATAATTAGTTCACCATAAAAACTTTCACCATAACCCTAGAAACTGTAATTATGAATTAATTATAGAAAAGCATAAATTTAAAGCTACAACAAAAAAATTGTACTAAAGCATATGTTCACTGTTTAGATTACTCACGTGGAGTCTAACAAAATTGGATTTTCTATTTTTTTGTTTTTCTGTGATTTACTATGATTTTTCAAAGATTCAGCTAAAATAAATAAAAAAGAAAAAGACAAAACCGACTTTGAAAACCGCTTATAACCGATCAGGGAGGTAAAACGAACGGTTTTAAAAGCTCAGGAAGATGGTTTACCTAATTTTAGAGTTCAGGGAGATGGGATTTTCCATTTTTTTAAGTCCATATGGTATTTACAGCCCAATAGCCCATAATCTCTAGCCCTGGTGCTGGTCTCCACAAGATCGCAACTCCATCACCGCAGCCGCAGGCCACCGGTCTTCTTTGTCCTCTACCAGGTTCGTTTGGCTGATTCGTATCGTTGCTGGTTCGTGAAGAAGTACTACTGGCTGGTTTGTGTGAGAGAAAAATAATGTTCCGGTTGGAAATTTACGATCGTTTACAACAAGCCACAGCCAAACGAACAGGCTGTATGTTTGCAAGCCATGTCATCGGTCGTCCCAGCGTTCTCACCCCTCTTCCTTGTCCTCTGCTATAGTTGTCCAGGTGAAAAGGAGGAGAAGAGCATTTTCGACGACGATTCCGTCGGTCACTTCCCTCTCCGGCGACCAGTTCGGCGCCGGAGATGGAGGAGGACCGGGAAATTGGCGTGCGGCTGTACATAGGTTAGCTAGTTTCTTATCTAGACCTAGGTTATGCTCACCATCCCTTCTCGGCGGTGGAGCTAGGGTTTGCCGTCAGGGTGTCATTCCTCGGCGGCTTGCTGTTCCTGGTGACGTCGGTGAGGCGGAGGCGGTGACGGCGCAGGGGAATAAGTTCTCCCGGCCTTTTCCTCGCCCCGGTGATGTCCTGCTCCGGTGTCAATGGCGAGGTCGCGGAGATCTGCACCGGAGTCAGTGGTTGGCGGCCACTCCGTTCGGCTTTTGCCGAGGTGAGTTGGGTGTCGGCCTTTTGTTTCATGGATGGAGAGGAAGCTGTGGGTTTTGTGGCAATGTGGAGGATGGATCGAGCTCGATCTCCCCGTGGCGGTTGTCGTCGTTGATGGCGGGCTTGGATCCAAGACCGAGGGTGCTTGGGGCGTGGCCTCGGCCGATGTGCGTTCAGCGATGCCTTATCTCGTTCTTAGGGATGAGTGTCTACTTTGGCTCTTTGCAAAAGCGTTCGTGCGATGGAGCTCTCTCGGATCCGGGAAGATGGCATCTGGTGTTGGCTTCCGGCGATGATCGGTGGCGACCGATGCAGGCGGCCATGGCGAACACAGGGTCCAAGGATTTGTTTGTAATTTTTCTCTTTTCTAGGTCCTTGTGTGCAAAAAGGTTCGGACAGCTGTCCTCTGTATCCTACTGTGACGTACCTATATTTATACTGGTCTACGTACGTTTTCCTTAATATTAATATAGGTATGTTTGATAAAAAAAACTTCGAGAGTCCGGGTCGCGGCATCCGCACTCCACAATAACCAGCACCGGCACCTACCAGCAGTCGAGCACTACTCCAGTCGTTGGCCTGTTCCTTTTGCTTGCCTCTGGCCGGTGCTGCTCTTCGTAGCCAACTAGGCCTGGTTTAGTTGGCCAAAATTTTTGGAAAATGTTACTTTAGTACTTTCGTTGTTATTTGGCAATTAGTGTCTAATCATAGTCTAATTAGGCTTAAAAGATTCGTCTCGTGAATTTCGTCTAAACTGTGTAATTAGTTTTATTTTTTATTTATATTTAATGCTTCATGCATGCGTCCAAAGATTCGATGTGACGGAGAATCTTGAAAAATTTTACAAAATTTTGGGAACTAAACAGTCACCTAGTCATACATGTACTGTACTAGCAAACATGTTCATGCTGGATTTATATGTTGTGTCATTGTTCTAATACACTTTAGAATCAGTCTTCGTATGCTGGTTGGACATATGGTATCTAACTCGCATGAGTACAGCTCATAAGTTCGAGACAATTAAGTAATTAGAATTTTAATCTCAGAATGATTTAGATTAATAACATTGTTTTAATCGTCAATACTTGATAAATCCAATGCACCTATTTGAATTTTCAACGTGGCCCTCTCTTTGAAAAAAAAACAGAGAGACAAAGAGATGAGAGGGTATTCCCCACTCTACCTCGTATATATGAAAAATTACAATAAAATAGAATATCGTATGAATTAATAAATAATTATGCGTAAGAGCCATAGACAGGGCTGTCGGTAAGTTTTTAGAATCTGAATACGGACGGCTAAATAGATAGCTCGTACAATCTGTAAGTTATTTAATGCTTTCTATTAGCTATGATCAATTATGAATACCATTTTTTTTACAAAGCCAATCGTCAAACTTTTATTCATCAGATAACAGCTTACATCGTTTGCCAAAACTGAAATGATAAAACATGGGGGTGAATCAACCCTTACAAAAATCTTTAGAAAGAGCTAGCTCATCAGCAACTTGATTAGCTTCTACCTGTTGTACCATTCATCGAAAATTAGAGCTGCTGCTGAAGCCGTGAAACCGATGTCGATTTTATATACCATTGTGTTGCTATTTGATACAAAACTGATCAAACATAAATTTCATAGTCCATAACCTGAATAATTATGAATACGATTTTATATACCATTGTGTTGCAATTTAATGATCTCCATTCTTAAGGTTGTCTTGTCTTTATCATGAAAACAATCGAATTGGGCATCATCATACTTCTGACCAATTTAATAGTGCAGCACCTGAATTAATTCAATGTCTTTGAACCAGAAACATAGCAGGTGTCAAAGAATTTCAATGTTAGTTCATTCATCGTGTACTTATTGGCCTTCAGTAGCTCAAAGAGGCAGAGCTGTAAATTATTGTCGCCTGCAAACCGTGTCCACCCTTTGCAAAGCCTTTGGAATTTCAGAACAAATAGCTCGGACATGGCTAGACATTTTCCAGAAACGTTTGTCTTCCTCATCACGCACACATATATGTGAATTTGAGAACAAATAGCTCGGAGTCACTTCTCCGGTTTCTTCTTTTGCATGCTATTAAGGCTGGTGCATTGTGGCCTTGTGGGAGCATGTAATTCAGAACAGAATGTGCTTTGTCATCTTTTGAAGATGTCATACCTACTATAACCAAGCAAAATAATGATGTCATGATCTTGTAGATGTAGATGCTACCATGTTTGATATTGTGACTCAGTCTGATGAGTTTCTGGTCTTTTCATAGGAAGATAAAAAAAATAGCCTTCACGGCAGCAAAAACAACCTACACTAAAAATCAAAAGCCAAAACTAATCTGCAGAAGCATTGTACTTTTGCCATTTGTAAGCTCTTGTGCATGTATCATAAACTCAAGGGGACAGTTTTCTAGTGAATCACAAAATGCTGCTGCTAATCTCATAGCGTAGAGTTGAAATAGAACCTGACTAATTATCTCACACAAAGAGCATATACAATTGAAGCCTTGAAGGGCATAACTCTTGAACTCACTTTTCAGACATCGATGAAACAGAGGTTGCCATCTATTCTATTCTGCACTGCCTTTTGCAGCAACACGGGCAGCTGTGGCCGCTCTGTTTGCAGCCCTTCAGTTCGAGCAGCGTGCTTGCACAATAAAACAATTTGAGTTCCTGAAGCAAGGAAGCTTATTCGATTATCATCCTGTGCACATGGGAAATTGTTGAATACCTGTAGCTGTAGGGCACGCTGAACAGCTGGGTCTGACAGAGCCAAGGAGTTCTTCCGATTTCCAGAATCCCACGCTCCCGTTCGTTAATCCCTGTTCCAAAATGCGTACATCTGCGATGTCACGGTGTTCACCTGAAATTGTAGCAGCTGAGGCCGTGCTTGACGCGCCATTGAACTCGTCGGCGTACGAGCTGTCGTCGAAGCAGGTCCGGGAGCTGATGCCGTGGCTCTGGCCGCCGGCCCACTCGCTGGCCTAGATCGCCCTGTTCGTTTGGCTGTTGAGCCATGACTGAAAGTATCGTTGGCTGATTTGTTGTGAGAGAAAAATACTATTCGTTGGCTGAAAAAGTACGGCTTATAAGCCAAGTGAACATGAGGCATATTTCGAAGGTGAGGTGGGTGTGGGTGAGACCAGGAACTCTTTCTCCACGTCGAGGATATCTCAATGACACCTATTAGTTTTATAGTTTCAATCAGAAATTCGTGTCGAACTTGGAGAAGAAAAAAGAAGCCGAAGAAATTTGTGTCGAACTTTGAGTTCATGTCAAACAGAGAAATTTTAATATTTAACCCTGAATTCGCAAGCCTCATTATTTGACATCAAATTCGCAAGCCTTTCAATATTTAACCCTTCAATTTGAGGGATTTATGAGATTTCCTCTCTTTTTCTATTTCTAAATATCTCTTATCACTGTTCAGCCCACGGGACATGACCGAACTACCCCTCCCTCCTTATCACATCTATCCTAGAGCCCGTACGTAGCTGGTTCGCATCCTTGTCCGTCGCGAGTCGCACGGACAACAGGACGAGCGACTCCGCTCGACATACCCCCCTGGCCCGACGGCGTAGGGTTTGGGGCGGCCATGCTCGTTCGTCGTTGTAGGCGGCAGCCGCCAATCTCCCTGCTGGCCTGAGGCGGGTGGGGACTTGAGGCGGGCTGGTGCTGCAGTGCGGGGTGCGAGCTGGCGATGGGCGGTGGCTAGCGCTGGATGAGGCCGGAACCGGGCGGCGGCGGACGAGCGGCTCCTGCTCGAGCCGCGACCCTCCGCGCGACGAAGAGATGCTTTCGGGTCAGGAGTGAAACAGAGACAGCGACGTAATCCTTCTTTCGCAGACAGGGGCAGCGTGGTCTTTTTCCGTCCCCGGACAGTGCAAAAAATTTATTGGAATTAAGAAAGGAGAAGAAAAGAGAAGAATCCATCGGATTGAAAGAATCGGCTATCTAGGATTATATTTTGAAAGGCTTACTAATTGGGTGTCAAATCTGGAGAGGCACGTGAATTCGGGGTTAAATATTAAAATTTCTCTGCCAAACGTACCCCTGGATTTGATTTTTCTCGTAGGAGGTGGAGCTTTCGTTTGATTCGATTCTAATTAAATTCCCATTCCGATTCCGACTTGCTCGGACAAAATCACGTCTTGTGCCATTGTTCTTTCGCTGCTTTGCGTGATGCCGCCAATGCCAGCTGAGGCGGCGGACTGGGCGGGCAGAGGCAAGAGAGCCGCCCGCGGACCGATGTGCTGTACGGCTGCGGAGGAGGAACGCGGTGGAGTCGTGCGCGACGGCGGTGGCCTCGGGCGCGGCGTAGGACCCCATCCGCGTGCTGGGCACCCTGGGTGTAGCGTACCCACGCCCAGTACTGGCACCGCCGCTCCGCACCTCTCCCAACGCCACTCGCCGCATTCTTTTATCGAGAAGAAGAGGAGCGACCGGGACAGGAGCGACGCCACTCGCCGCGATTTTTTTTATCGAGATGAAGAGGAACGATGGGACGGGAGCGACGGGAAGCGGAGCGCTGTGAGTCCATCCGATCGAATCGGGTCGGGCCAAAAGCTAGAGAGTGGCTGGACGTTTAGGCCAGATTAGAATGGGCTAGACAAAAAAAAAGGCTAGAAATTTTGCATTTTTATTATTAGAGATAGAGGGATAGATGTCGTTCTTATTGATTCTTCTATTTTTTTGCTTCTAAATTATTTAATCTGTAAAACCTACGGGCTATGCATACTTAGAAGTCACTAATTGAGTAATAATTTGTTCGTCTATTGAGATCTTCTGATGCTTTTTTGAGATAATTTTAAATCTTTGTTATTTAATTTTTCCTAAGCCCCAAATTGCATAGCTGTATGCTCTATGTATCCTGTGAACTGTGACCTAATTATAAGTACTAAAACTAATTTCTCCATCACCTATGTACATATTGATTTTAATTAGCAAATTACCCTCCCCCTATAGAATGGTTCAGGCTCCGCCACTGCGTGAAGCGGTGACCGGCGGCGAGCGGCGAGACGCGCAGGAGTGCGTTCTGTGCGTCGCACGAGAAGGTCGATGGCGCCCGAGTAAGGCCTTCCACAGTGTGGAAGTAGAGCCAGCAAAAAAATCGGACCAGACCCCACTGCCAAAACCAGGAGCGTTCTTCAGTTGCTACAGCGTGTAGAGCTGCTGGGCATCACTGTTGGGACCCATAGGGGAGAAAAAAGAAATACATAGAACCCACTAGCTAAACCCAACCAGTATTCTGCATCGGCCAGTGAAGTACCAACGAAATTTTATTTTATTATATTGTTTGGGCACCGGAGCAAGTAGTTGCTCCGCTCTTGGTTTTTCTGGCACCGGTGAAAGCTGAAATCACTTGCTGCCGTGGGAACGAGTGACTCCCAAAGTCTCTCCTCTACAAGCACCACTCAAGCCTCACGCTGTGGAGGGCCTAAAGGCCCAACAACCCTTGAGCTAGCCCACTCCTGCACGACCCATACATCTCACGTCTCAATCTCCCTCTCTCGACCTCCCCCAATTCCACAACTGTGTTTTTTTATTGCAATAAATTTCTGTAGGAGCGCAAGACCCTCCAGCATTCTCAAAAAAAAAAAAAAAAATCCACATCACGACATCGAGGCTAAGGGCGCCGGCGGCCTCCGCTGCGCTGCCCCAAGCGTGCCACCGTCACACCCTAGCTGCTGATGCCCCTCTGTGTCCCTTCCAATGCTGGCCCGCTGTTGCCGCTAGCCTCCGCGGCACATCCGGCAGCAGCCGCCCCGGTGCCCCTCGCTGCCTGTTGTAGTGCAGCTGCTGCCGCCCCTAGCTGGTGCCTACCTGCAAATTGTTGCTGTGCTGTATGGAGGAGAGGGTGGGGGTGGACCAGAGGGGAATGGCGGTGGTGAGCAGGAAGATATGTTCTGCTGAACCTAGATCTTTCGTATGCTTGAACTGTTCTGTTGAACCTATATGTTCATCGATTATGGTCCTACTTATCTATGTAATTCTCTGTTTACATACGAGCAAGTTTTCTGTGTCAGGCGATGATGGCTTCTTGTTCTATTGTATTTCCTCTTATGATGGCTAGATGAATTGATTGATTTGTTTCAAATTTACCAGTTCGTTAGCTCTTGAATAGTTTAATCTTGGACTCTTATTCAGTTCGTATATGTTGAATTAATGAATTGTATTGGACTTAAGGTGCTATGGACCGCTACCTTCTAATAGAAGGTACTATCTTCAATTGATCTTTAAATTCGACTATTTATATGCGTCTGTGTTATATTATTAAAAATATGGTGTGCATATGTTGTCTCTCTTATTTCGTACTATTAGTTATGTGTGCACGGTCCGCCCCACCTAAAATTCTGGTGGAGCTCCGTCACTGATTGGCATTTCATTGAACACATCACACCTTCACATATTCTACTTATCAGACTAGAACTGCTTGCTGTTTCATATGGAACATGTACATTAACTCTTGTGCGACTGAATTTGTTTTAACGGCCGGAATACTGCTGCAGGAGGAGGACTTGAAGCAGTTCAAGCAATGGGGAAGCAGCACACCGGGCCACCCAGAAAACTTTGAAGTTACCTCTGGTCTGTTTTCTTCTCTACAGAGCTAACACTTGCTAGTTTCCCAGCTGCACTGTAAAACTTAAGTTTCGATTTCCATATGGTTGTTCCGCAGGACCTCTTGGTCAGGGTATCGCCATTGCAGTTGGGTTGGCACTTGCTGAGAAACATCCGTGCAGCTATTAAGGAAGCAAAGGTGGTCACTAACAAACCCACCTTAATCAAGGTTGGTTTCTCTGGTATTTGCAATATTTTATGTTTTGTTTGCTGTCAGCGTGTCACTACTATGCAATGCACATTTCGAAATTATCGCCCTCAAGATGGCGAAGATTCTGAAATATTCAGCTCATTTTTAATAAAATATTGTGCAGTAACTTGCATATTTCTAATTAATGTTATGGCAATTTATTACCATCCCTGATGATGGTCCGCCTCATAACATCATTACTTGGTTAAGAGTTGTATCTGCTTGCTGCAAAATCATGTAGACAACTTTAACACACTGGATATTTTTATCAAGTATTTCAGCCTGCACGCTTACGCAAGTCTAAACTGGTAGACACCACTGTAGAATCGACCTTTAATTATTTGGTTATAAAATTCAATGTTCATGAATATCAAATTAAAAACATGTCTTAAAAACACTACTATTCAACATAGTATTTTTAAATGGGAATATATCATAACTCTAAACTGAACAAATATCAAATTATAAGTTGTTTTAGCTTTTTTTAAGTATCTTATCCCGTCGTCATGTTCTATGCAGGCGGTGTGGCCTCGTACGTTCACCTTAGCTATGGAAGGCTCACGCCACTTTAACAACTCCACAGTCCCACCCTATCAGTTCATCAAGCCCCGTTTCACCAACCTACCCGTTGGTGAGAAGGTGCCGATTAGTCTCGTTGGCGGAGGCATTTGCCTGGTGGTAACGGTGCTCACGGCGCTAGCTGTGCACTGTTACCACCGCCGGTGGGGCAACGCCCGTGCGTGCGATGTGGAGGCGGCGTCGGCGAGTAAGGTGGAGCTGTCAGCTGCACGGCTTGTGCAGCTCGCCGCTTCCCAGGCGAGGACACACGAACTCGAGCAAGAGCTCGCCGCGGCCCAGGCGCGGACGAACACGCTCCAAGGTCAGATTGGCGAGCTGGAGCAGAGGTGCCATGACTTCTACGGCGAGCTCAGACAGGAGAGGCAGAGGGCTAAGCAGGACAAGGATATGCTGAAGCAAGGTCAGCAGACATCCTATACTCCATGTACAAGGAGGCACTGAGAGAGGTTTATTAGATTCTTAGGATCACTAGGAGTAGATCTAGCGAGTGATTTCACTTGCATTTGGGATAAAGCAACCTAGAATATGTACTGGAGAAAGAGAGAGAAGAAAGGATGAGAGAGGGGAGGTGTTACCGACCATCGGTGGTCTTGGCGGAGGAGGAAGCCATGGCGATGGTGATGGTGGCGCGAAGTGTCGGTGAAGGGTAGCAGTGGCGTCCGGCGGCGGTGTGGACATCGGGGTTGGTGCAGGGGCGGTGGTGAAGCTTCCCGTCGCTCATAGCGCACCCTCTCTAGATCAGATTAGGGTTGTTGGTGGGGTTGTGGCGGCGTCGGTGAACCTCGTGTCGCGATCCCTGGCCCCCACCTCCTTTATATAACGCTGCGCGACGGGGGCCCACCAGCCATATGTGCGGCTGGGCGCCCTCGATCAGGACGCGGGATCAAGGCCCGAGTCGACCGTTGGGCCGACTCGGTGGAGATCAACCTAATATTCTCTCCCTTAATCTCACCTTTTGTCTTAAACTTAAAATACTTATCTCTTTTCTCATTCCATCACAGATTAGCGCATAGAGCGTGCCTCGTCACAACAGTTAGTACCATTGGATTAACAGCTATAATACACCTTTCTATTTTGAAACAGATTCTCAGTTAGGCCCTTATTATCCAGGGATCATAGGCTTTCCCGTAAACCCATGTCAGCTAAGTGTTCTCTGAACACATTGGGCAGTAAGCCTTTAGTAAGCGGATCCGCAAGCATTCACTTTGTACTTATATGCTCGAGACTAATAGAATGATCTTGGGCTTTGTCTTTCACAACATAAAACTTTATGTCAATGTATTTGGTAGCACCATTTGATTTATTATTGTGAGCATAACATACTGCTGGCTCATTGTTGCAGTACAACTTGAGTGATCTATGAATGTCGTCGACCACTTTCAACCCGGTCATAAATTTTTTTAGCCAATCCGTCTATCCCGTGGCCTCATAACATGCTACAAACTCGGCATACATCGTGGACGATACAGTGATGGTTTGCTGGGAGCTTTTCCACGATATGGCTCCTACTATGAGAGTAAATACATAGCCTGATGTGGACTTTCTATCATCTACATCTCCGCAAAATCTGAATCTAAATACTCTCTATATGAAGGGAATCAATTTTCTGTACGTTAGCATGAGGCCTTTTGTGCCTTGCACATAACACAAAGCTTTCTTTACCATTCTCTAGTGTTCTATTCCTGGATTACTCTGATATCTGCCAAGTATTCCGGTAACAAAAGCTAAGTCAGGGCGCGTACATACTTAACCATAGTGTAAGCTTCCAACAGCCGAAGCATATGGAACTGCTTTCATTCGATCGATCTCATATTAATTCCTAGGACATTGGAATTCCCTAAAACTATCGCCCTTGACTATAGGAGCAGGTGAGGGCTTACACGCATGCATACTATATTTCTTTAGTACCTTTTCTAAGTATGCCTTTTACGATAATTCTAAAACCCACTTTCTTCTATCTCAGTGAATCTCTATTCCTAAAACAAACGAAGCTTCACCGAGATCTTTCAGATTAAAATTTGAGGACAAGAACTTCTTCATCTCCAGTAGTAGATTAACATCACTAATAGCGAGTAAGACGTCATCCACATACAGGATTAGGAAAATGAATTTTCCATTCTTTAACTTTGTATAAATGCAATTGTCCTCTACATTCTCTTTAAACCCAAACTTCCTTATTATTCCATTAAACTTTAAATACCACTGTCTAGAGGCTTGTTTTAATCCGTAAATGGATTTCTTCAGGCGACATCCTATACGTTCTTTTCCTTTTATGATAAAACCTTTTGGTTGTGCCATATGAACATTTTCATCCAAATCCCTGTTAAGGAAAGCCGTCTTTACATCCATCTGATGTAATTCTAAATCGTAGTGAGCCACTAACGCCATTATGATTCTAAAAAAATCCTTACATGAGACTGGAGAAAATGTCTCATTGTAATCTATTTTTTCTCTTTGCATCAAACATTTTACCACAAGTCGTGCTTTAAACCTTTTACCCATTTACAGTCTACTGTCTTGGCTCCTTTAGAAATTTTTTCTAAGTTCCAAACACCGTTGGTGCTCATTGGTCTCATTTCATCTTGCATGGCTTCAAGCCACTTCGACGAGTGAGCGCTTCTCATGGCTTCTTCAAATGAGGTGGGATCACCCTCCATTTGAAATTCTTTTTCACCCTCCATTGTAATTCTTCACTAGCATAGACTTTGTAGTCATCAGAAATGCTGATTTTCTGGCTCTTTGAGACCTTTTGGGGCCCTCATTAGTTGGCACTTGTTCCATGTGGGGCTGTTGTTGCTCTTCCTCATGTGCAACAACGGGCTCTATAGGATCCTAACGGATAGGTTCCTCATGTTCATTTATTGTGGCCATGGGAGAATTAACAATCGTCACTATAGTGTCCGGCACTATTTGTGCAGCAGCAGCAGGTAGCAAGAAAAATGGCTCCTGAACCATCGGAGTGGGCACGATATCCGCTTCTCCTCAAGGTCAATTTCTCACGCTACCATGCTCCCCCTAACCATCTCATCCTATAAGAACACAACATGTCTTGTTTCTACAAATTTCGTATATCTATCAAGACAGTAGAAACGATAACCTTTTGACTCATCTGGATAGCCAATAAAATGGCAGCTGACTGCCTTAGAGTCTAACTTCCTAATATTTGGGTTAAATACTTTAGCCTCAGTTGGGTAGCCCCACACACATAAGTGGTTAAGTGAGGGTTCTCTTTCTATCCATAACTCATATGGTGTTTTGGGCATCGACTTGCTTGGTACTCGATTGAGAATATGAATGGTGGTTTTTAACGTCTTCATCCACAAACTTATCGGTAAAGTGGAGTACCTTATTATACTTCTCACCATATCCATTAAGGTACAGTTGATGTCTTTTAGCTACTTCATTCTACTGAGGCTCGCCTGGTGTGGAGTACTGGGCAAATATGCCATTTTCCTATAAGAACTTTGCAAAAGGTCTAGGTACTTGGCCATATGGGGTATGTCAACCGTAGTACTCCCCCACGGTCGGATCTTACTATCTTAATCTTTAAATTATGTTGATTTTCTAATTCAGCTTTAAATATCTTAAATTTATCCAATGGTTCTGATCTTTCTTTGATTGGATAAATTTAGCCATAATGAGAATAATCATCTGTGAATGTTATAAATGAATCATAACCATCCACACTTTTCACAGGAAAAGGACCACATATATCTGTGTGAATTATTTCTAAAATTCTTGCGCTTCGTTTGACGTCTTTCTTTGTTTTCTTAACATACTTTCCTTTAATGCAATCAATGCATTGTTCTAAATCTAAAAATTCTAATGGCAGAAGAATTGATTTCTTAATCAATCGTTCTATTCTTCCCCTCGAATATGGCCTAAATGATAGTGCCATAATTTCAATGATACATCATGAATTCTCTTTTGTTTATTACTTACATTCATAGACGAGGAGGCATTCTCATTTATAGTGCTCATAACATTCACATTCTCACGAAGTGATAACAAATAAAGCTTCATCTTGTCGGAAGGCAAGACCAACACACTTATGATTAAACATAATCTTACATTGGCCATTACCAAAATGACAATCAAATCCATCATCGTCTAAACGTGAAATACTTATTAAGTTTCTATGCAAAGAGGGTACATAAAGGATATCTGTAAGCTTAAGTACAAAGCCATCATTTAATTCTAATGGGAGTTCTCCAATGGCTTCAACTTCAGCATTGACTCAATTTGCTACCTTAATGTGTCTTTCTCCTCTTTGCAGGATCCTCCTCGTATGGAATCCCTATAATGAATTTGTAACATGAATAGTTGCACCTGAATCAATTCACCAAGTAGATTTTGGATAACTTAAATACAATGACTCATCTATAAATGTAATAATGTCCTCACCTTTTCTCATCAGGTGCTTTAGGAACTCTAGACAATCCTTCTGGTAGTGTCCCTTCTTCTTGCACCATTTGCAGGTATTCTTGTCTACTTGAACATTATTGAATTTCTGATGGTGATCATTCTGTGGGGCCTTTCCTTGTGTCTTGGAGGGGGAGCTATTGTCCCACTAAGGTTTCTCTTGTGGTTTAGTGTTCTTGTTGTTAAAGTTCTTTTTATTTTCCTTCACATGGTTGACGGAGTCACCATGTGAGCTCTTAAGTCTCTCCTCTTCTTGCACACACATGGCAATGAGCTTCCCAATGTCCCACTTATCTGGCTGTAGGTTGTAATTAATGACAAAGGTTTCATACTCTTTGGGCAAAGAAGCAAAAATCAAATGAATTAGGAACTCATTCTTGAGCCCCATGTCCATTGGCTTGAGCTTGTATTCCGTGTTGCTCATTTTCAGTATGTGCTCTCTAATCCCTCCACCTGTGTTTTTTTCATTGACTAACTTCTTAATAAGAGTGCTTGCATAAGCCTTTGAAGAACTAATAAACTGACTCCCCACCTTCTTTAGATACTCAGTAGTGGTGGTACATTCTGAGTTTGATCCCCTTATTAGATCCTCAATGAAGCTCTTAATCACCATTAAACACTTGCGGTTTGAACTATCTCACTTCGCACGATCAAGGTCGTACTTCATTCTCACTGATACATGGTCACACTGCCGAGTAGCAAAAGCTGCATCAGTCTCATTTTTGGCCCTCACCGGGTCCTCAGGCTTAGTGGGACACGGAGAGATAAGTGCTAGATCATTGTCGGATAGTGCAAGTGCTATTTCAAGCTTCTCTCGTCATAAGTTATAGTTGCTTCCATTGAGAGGCAGAATAGACGAGATAAACATCTTTGGGTTGTATCCTGAAAACATCAGAGAAAGTGAGAAAAATTTGATATAATAATTGCATGCATTAATTTAACGTTGGTCAAAATTAAAACATACAATATGCTTCTACGTTAACTTTACATCACTGTTTGGCAGAAATAGAACTAATGTAGAAAACTCATTAATAAAAATTATAATGTTGCTATCATCAACTTTGGTTAGAAAATAGCAATATCATAAATACAACATTCTTTTACATTAATTCTACATCACCGTTGAGCAAAAATAGTATTAATGCATGGAAAACTCATGAATAAACTTATAATATTGTTATCATCAATGTTGGTCAAAAAAATAACAATATCATAATTTAACTTAGACAAATAGGACTACTCCTCTAATTAAAATATTTTCCTTTGGTTCCAATTTAATTAGAGGATTAACATAGTCGTTGCAGCGGAGATATGAAAAAGCTTGAAAAATAATAATTCTTGATCAGAAGCATCTCAGCGTACTCATCCACTCTCTAAACAAATTATCCCGTTGGTTCAAATTTGAGTAGAGCTTAAAAACTAGACAAAAATCATCAAAATTGCTTTTGGAAAAAAATAAAATTAATTCTTAAGCACTATTGTTCATACGAGCTAGCAGTAACACAGCACGCGCCCCAGCAGCGAAAAAGCCCGCGGCCCAGCCGCGCGTGGCATGCTCCCCCGCGCCTAGGCCACAACCTGGGCCTGGGCTAGGATTTCTCCATCCCGCCTGGGCCTAAAGTGGCCGTCGGATCTGATCCGACGGTCGTTCGTGCTGCTCGGTGGAACAAAACCCGCCGCAGCCAGCCTCCTCCCCGAACCCTAACTCATTTGCTTCTTCCCCTTCTCTCTCCACACCACATCCGAGTAAGAGAGCGAACGGCGACGGCCACCGGTGGCGGCCGGAGGAAAGATGGCGGTGCCCCCTCACCGACGCGTGCCGCCATCGAGCGACCTTGCGACGGTGCACTGAGCCCAGTCCAGGGAAGATCCACGCGGCGGCGAGGCCACGCCCTCCGGCGGCTCCCTTCCCGCGTGTCGGCAAAGCGGCGGAGCGGTCTACTTCCCGCGCGACAGCGGTGGTTACAGAGGCGGAGGAGCCCTGGTGAGCCCCCTTTTCTCTATTTTCTTCCTTAGGGTTAGGGTTTAACCCGATTTGATTCGTTCGATTCGATTCATCTCCTAAATGCTGAAATTTAGACTATCCCAGACTAGATCTACACCCTAGGTAGGCATCTAATACCATTGTTAGATTCTTAGGATCACTAGAAGTAGATCTAGCGGGTGATTTCACTTGCATTTGGGATAAAGCAACCTAGAACATGTAGTGGAGAAAGAGAGAGAAGAAAGGATGAGAGAGGGGAGGTGTTACCGACCATCGGTGGGCTTGACGGAGGAGGAAGCCATGGCGACGGTGATGGTGGCGCAAAGTGTCGGTGAAGGGTAGCACTGTCGGATGCCATAAAAAGGGGTACCCTAAGCAAGAACCAAAAAAATTGCTTAGACCTTGTAAATAACGAAACCAAAATACAACTGCAGGCAAACCCGCCACATCCGAGGCCCGACTGGACCGCCCAGCCCACCTCGAACAAATATCCGGGCTCGACCGAGGCCCCACACCGCAAGGCCTCGGACGAGGTACCGATTCTCTGACTCTCCCGAGGCCCCACACCGCAAGGCCTCGGACGAGGTATCGATTCTCCAACTCGCCCGAGGCCCCGCGCCGCAAGGCCTCGGACCCACCCAGTTACCGACTCGCTCGAGGCCGCCTCGGCATCAACCCCGTCACCACCGCCATGACCGACTTCTCTGACAAGACGTCACACCCAACTAACACGTTCAACCACTCCCGCGACGTCAGCCGCACGACGGCACGGTACAGCAGAGTGGCCGACGAGACAGAAGTCACATCGACCCCACGCTATTCGAGATAGGACGGGGCGGGGGTTACCGGTCGCTGTGCTCGGCGTTGTGCCCACGACGGACACCCGTGCCACACTGTGCTGCCTAACCCCTTGCCTAGGCATGGAAAGTCATGTCCGGGTCCCTGTAGCCTCGGAAACGACGTGCAAGGCCAACTGCTCCCTCCGAGCCTCGGCTACCCGCTTCCGGGCTCCTGTAGCATCGGGACTCGCGCCCGCCGAGCCCCCCACGACGGTCCAGCCTCTGCATCGAACTGGGCCTCGACTCTCTACGTTGTCAGCGCTCTGGGACCAGCACGCCGCCCGCAGTATGCGCCATGCCCTGCGTCGGGTTGCAGGAGCTCCCACGTCGCGCACAGGGCCTAGCTCCTGTAGCCTCGAAATCAGCATACCCGCGCCATCGCATCAACCCGGTCTCGGCACTCCGCGCCGGTCAAACATACAGTGACCAGCACGCCTCCAACAAAAGAAGGCGCGCCTGCCACCACAGGAGCTTTCACGTCGCACAGGATTGGGCATGACCAGCGCGTCGCTCCAGTGCACGGAGGACAAGACCGCTCCACCGACCGTGCCGCCACAGTGACAAGCTACAGGGCTCGGACATGCCGCCCCTGCCGAAGAACGCCACGTAGCAGATACATGTACCGCCCCTGTGCCTCCCTTCGACTATAAAAGGGAGTGACCAGGGCCGCTTCTAGAAGAGGAAACCGGTGCAAGGCACACACAACACTATGTAACACGCACACTCCTTCACTGCAAGAGATCAACATCTCAAGCAACACACACTGCAATTCACAGAGACCTGGGGCTAGCTCCCTCTCTCGCCCAGCTTGTAAGCCCCTACTACAAGCACCTCGGTGCAAGGAATACAAGATCGCTCCCTCAGACTGGACGTAGGGCACCTATTGCCTGAACCAGTATAAACCTTGTGTCTCTTTGCATCACCATCCAGGATTAGGAACACGCAGTGCACTTTCACTAGTCGGTTGAGGACCCCCCGGTCCAAAACACCGACAGGTAGCAGTGGCGTCCGGCGGTGGTGTGGACGTCGGGGTTGGTGCAGGGGCGGCGGTGAAGCTTCCCGTCGCTCACAGCGCACCCTCTCTAGATCGGATTAGGGTTGTTGGTGGGGTTGTGGCGGCGTTGATGAACCTCGTGTCGCGAGCCCCAGCCCCCACCTCCTTTATATAGCGCTGCGCGATGGGGGCCCACCAGCCATATGTGCAGCTGGGCGCCCCCGATCAGGGCGCAGGATTAAGGCCCGAGTTGGTCGTTGGGCCGACTCGGTGGATATCAACCTAACAAGGTGGACTTCCTCAAAGAGACTCTAGCAGTTAAGGTGGATCAGCCCGGAGGGAGGGCGACGAGCTGCCGGGCACGTCAGCACGTGCCGCCGAGTGAGCCGGTAGGTTCGTTGAATTGATTAGGAGGCTGCTGATGAACAAGGGGAAACACAAACGGGTGGGTTTTTGTTGTTTTTGGCAAATTAGTTTAGGTATAAAGATAATGTGGATTTGCTTGATTGTGTCGTAGTTCTCATCGGATTGTGAGATGCACTGAGCTTATGTAAAGAGTTTGATACTTTGATGTCTGATTCCCACTGAACTTATGTCAGATCATGCAGCTCTACGTTCTCTGTAGGCACTGAGAGGCTTTGATTTATTTTTAGTTATGCATTGGATTTCTATGACAAACAAGATTAAACCAGAAAATATTTGGGTTAGTCTTTGAGAGGTCCCATTGGTCAAAATAGCTTCCTATGAGGTCTGCATTACTCTCTGTCAAACTTTTCTCTCATTGTGATAACCGAGGGTATGTATCATCATGTTTGTGTATGAAAATGGATAAGGAATTAAGGATAACTATATCGTAACTAATCTTTACAATGGCAGGTTGGTCATATTTTTAAAATTCTGGTTGAGCTCCATCACTGCCGGTGGCAGAACCAGGGGGCCAGCAGGGCCCGTGCACACCCCCCCAGCACAGTAGATTTTGTTTAATACCTATATAAATATTTGAATTTTATAAAAAAATATCAATTTTCACCCATTTTATTTAAATATTATGATTTTGGTTATAAATAGTGTAAAAATATTTAAAAATTTTGTTAAGCATATAATTATGTATATTTTATCACACTAAAAATGTGATTTATATAGTCTCCTTAATCAAAATCACTGGTTCCGCCACTGGTCACTTCTGCCAGAGGCTGCTGCTGCCGCTGGCCCGGACACACACAGAAAGTGGCAAAACCGGGAGGAAACCATAGAAGATATTCGGAGAGAAAGGCCATGCCAGGAAACCGGGAGCAAAACATGCATTAATAAATTAAATAATTACAATGGACTTATATTTTCATGCTTGAGGCTAAAAAAAAGAAAGTCTAGAAGTGAAATAGTCTGTCTATTTGCTTCAGCTTAACCTTTTGAATTGAACTAAAATTGATGCATGCAACCCAATAATAATGGTGCGTGCTAGCCCGGATGGTACGAATTTCACCAGCCAAATAAAACCATGTAATTCCGAGCTCTTGTGTGGCCTTTTTGTCGCTCTACTAAGAATTACACACAAAAAAACACGACTTGGACGGAGGTAGATCGGACCCGGTCCTTAGTTGGAACAATTCCGTTTCGGACGTGCCCCGTTCACAAAACCTCTCTCTCTCTCTCTCTCTTCATACCGCTGCCGATACGACACCAACTTTCCGTTTCTCCGGCCCTTTTCTATACGTCGCCCAAATTCTTGGCCTTCGTACCGATATGATTGCGCGCACGTACATCGTCCTGATATCCGCCACCGCTCTGATCAAGTTCCTTGCGTAAACGGCAAATTAGACGCGACCATGGCAGCAGCATCCCAACAAATGGTCACATCAGACGTGGACGTCGTCGACGTGCACTCCAGAGACGGCGCGGGGCACGAACGTGCTCCGGATCGTCGGCTACAGCCTGCACAAGGGCCTCGGCGTGGACCGCTCCATCCGCTCCACCACCTTCCCCGTCGGCGGCTACCACTGGACCATCCACTACTACCCCGACGGGATCAGCTCGCCGCTCGCGCCTCCCGGCCGCCTCGTGCTCTTCCTGCAGCTCGTGAGCAAGAAAGCCGAGGTGAGGGCGCGCTTCACGTTCCGGCTGGTCGACCAGGCCACAGGGAAGTCCACGCTTTTCCACAGGCCATGGGCAACGCCGATTGCGTCGTTCAGCACCATGACCATGATGCGCCGTGAAAGATCAGAGGACGCCTGGGGCGTCTTCTGCGTGAAGAAGAAGAGCGAGCTCGAGGCGTACCTGCGAGACGACTGCCTGGTAATCGAGTGCGATGTGACTGTGATCAAAGAGCCGCGGGTGAACGTGACGGTGCGCGTGCCGCCCTCGGACCTCTCGGGCAACCTCGCGAAATTGCTCGAGGGGAAGAAGGGAGCGGACGTGACCTTCAGGGTTGGAGACGAGCTCTTCCCGGCGCACAAGATCGTGCTTGCCATGAGGTCGCCGGTGTTCGACGCGGAGTTCTACGGGCCAATGCGGGAGGACGACGACGACACAGCAAGCCAATGTAGCATAGCTATCGAGGACATGCAGCCTGCTGTACGTTTTCAGGGCGCTGCTTCACTTCATATACACGGACTCGATGCCGTCCATGGGAGGGTTCGACGCTGGCGCCCGCAAGGAGATGGTTAAACACCTACCTGTGGCTGCGGATAGGTACGCCGTGGAACGGTTGAAGCTGATGTGCGAAGGCATTCTGTGCAAGATCCTTGACCCTAAGGACGCGGAGACCACGCTGGCTCTGGCTGACACGCATCACTGCCACGGCCTCAGGAAGGCTTGTGTCGCGTTTCTCGCCTTGTCCAACAAAGTGGGTAGCGCTGTGGCGAGCCAGGAAGTGTATCTGCAACTCAACGACAATGACAGACCACGCCCTGCTACGTTCTTATCAGGTACTATGTTCAAGAACATGCGTAAGTGGATGTGTAGCCGTCCCACGAGATAATCTTGTCGACTGTCGTCGTTGTCGTTGTAAACACAGTGCTTTTTAATAAATTAGCAATTATTCACTATTTAGATTAGCTGCCGTCCCACGACATAATCGTTGTAAACACAGTGTTTTTTAATAAATTAGCAATTATTCACTATTTAGATTAGCATATAATAATGTTTTTCTTAAATTATTACCACGCCACCATATTTTTAGTACTCCGTCCGTTCAAAATGATAACTTTTGCTGTAGCAAAAGTTGTATTCTTGGAAAAGCAAAATGGCTTATAATTTGAAACAGAGAAAATAATATTTTGTTTATGCTATTACTTGGCCACGGACGTCCACCCCCTTCCAGACGCTGTCTTCATAGGCTGCAGCGAATAGCCCAACAGGCATGCTCTTCCTCATGGCACTCGCATCTGGCTATTGAGGCATCATCACGCATTCGCCACCGCACCGCCCCCTTCCCGGCCCCACCGCGTGCCCGTCCACCGCGCACGCATCGCCCTTCCCCCTGCCGCGCTGCACCCCATCGCTGACCGCGCGCTGTGCCACCAACCCCGCCCCATATCCACTAGTGCGCCCCCATCCACCTTGCCCGTCGCGGCCATGGCAGGCACCACGCCACCACCACCCCAGCGCCACCAGGAGGAGGTCACCATCGGTCCGGACTTCGTCTCCCGCGACAGGAAGGGGAGGCCTGCGCACGTTGGGCTGTTTGTTCTCGACGTTCCCTCTGGACCTGAGGTTGCTGGTTATTGCAATCCCCCACCAGGTAGGCCATGGCTGCTGGCGACGCCATGTTTGAAATGTTTCAAGCGTTTCCAACTTAAGTTTCAAGTGTTTCATCTGAATGTTGCCAAAGTTGATCTAAGATGTTACATATGTTGCAATGGTAATATACGCATGGTGCAAGTGTATGTTTTAATTATTTCAAACGTTTATTTCAAATGTTTCATCTGGATGTTTCAAAAGTTGATCTGGTGTTGCACATGTTGCAATGGCTATGCACGCATGTTTCAAGTGTTTTATATGTTTTCAGATGTATGTTGCAAATGTTTCATCTAGATGTTTCAAAAGTAGATCTTGTGTTGCAGGCCGTTGTCAGTCTGCTGCTGCTGGTGCGCTGCCATAGTTCACATGCTGGCTCCTGAGGCTTGCAGACGCCTCCACAACACGCATCCACAAGAGGGGTAGGTGGGCGCGGGTCGCGGTTCCGCCGTGCGGACGTTGGATGGGCGTGGTTCTGTCGTGCGGGGCGTGGGATGGGCGTGGGCCGCAGTTCCAGATGCTGGCGCTAGTTGGGAACGAGACGGAGCGCATGGGATGCGATGTGGGCAGGGGGCGCGGGAGCAGCGTTTGAACGTGGGCCTAGGGCCAGACATGCGGGCGCTAGGCTTACGGTTTTGTTTACGATTTAGTTGCTATACCAGATTTCATATGGATGCCGTCGTCGAGGAGCATCCATTACAGGGCTGTCATATGAGCCCCACCTTTCAGAGTGAATCCATCGTTTAATACTTTACAATTTATCTATGCTTGTGAACACACTATCAACACAGCATATCAAATTGTCTGGCACGGGATGTATTCAACGTACAGATTATCTGCTTAGGAATTTCGAACCAGCCGCCGCCGCCCAAGCATAGAGCCGCTGGCCCCACCCCTGTCGACGCCGGTGGTGCCAGCGCCCGTACCCCACTCACCTCCTCTTCCCTTGCTGCATCCCCTCCTCTCCTCGGCCCTGCGTGGGAGTGCGCCCGGAGGAGCGCGCGGCATGGCTGCCGCCGCCGCCCGCAGCAGCATCCTCCACCAGCGGGGCTCCTCTTTCGCCGGGGGCTGGTGCCACCGCTGCAGCCTCCCTGTAGCCACACGTGAGGGCAGGATCTAGCGCGCCATGGCCGCCTGCCCCTCACCCTCGTGTGGGTGCCGGCGGTGGGGAGCGCGCGAAACAGCCGTCGCCGCCGGCCATGTCGTCCCCTCGTCATGTTTCCACTGCTTCCACCCCTCCCCCACCTCGCGCTGACGCCGGAGAAAGGCAGCTCCGCCGCACGGTCTTCACAGCCGCTCTGTAAAGACCTGAGTTCGTTATAATATAGGCTCTTATTTTTTACTATTAGTGAAGCGCCCTACCGAATTCCTATGGAGATCCCTAGTGCCTTGAGTAGGATCAACGACCTTGGATCCATTGAGTCAACCCCACAAGCATCCCCAGATAGACATGGTCAGACTAACTTGGATCCATTGAGTCAACCCCACAAGCATCCCCAGATAGACATGGTCAGACTAACTTGGATCCATTGAGTCAACCCCACAAGCATCCCCAGATAGACATGGTCAGACTAACAATGGAAGCAGTGAAGAACCCTTACTTGGATTAGTAATCATCCTATTGGCATCATCAACACTAACTCAACCTCAGAGAGTACTCTAGAACATGATATCTTGGTCTCCAATACCAAGCCACTCAATCCACTTGTGAAGCTTGGACCCACAAGTCAACACGAAATTGGGCATTCATCAGCTGAAGCCATACCCCTTCACCCACTCATTCATTTGCAACTCCCCTCTCTCTCTATAACTCAAGAACAAGGAAGAAACCCTAGAACTAGAGAGAGAAAGGAGTGGAGAGTGGATTGGAGAAGGAAAGGAAGAAGAGGAAGGGAAGCACCAACAACGCCTCATGGACACCATCAACATCTTCAACCTCATTCATGGTGAGCTCAAGAAGAGTAGCTCTTACTTCTTGGATTTTTCTCCAAAGGCCTAATTTGTGGTTTTTGGTGAAAGCTTGAACATTTCTTGCTGGTGGTGGTTCCATCGTATGTAGGAGTAAGTTCAAGAAACCTTCATCTAGCTCAATCACCCCATTTCCTATGTATCACCTTTTGATTCATCCATTTGGAATGTTGCAAGAGGAAGCTCATAAGAAGCCAATCTCTCTTTGGATGTGAAAGTAAGAATGGAAAGCAGTTAGATCTTCAAGTTTTTGGCTACGAAAGCTCTCAAATCTCAGAGCTAAGGATTTCATCTCAATCTCATGATTTCTCTATTTTCTCATGTTTTTGGTTAAATCACAAAACCAAAGTTGCACTTAGTAAACCTAGCTCAAAACCTAGCTATCTTGAGCCTAGTGAGCCACCTAAATTGTCCTAGGAATGTCTTGCAGATGCACGGATCACAGCACAACACATCTAGGATTGAAACCCAAGATCACCCATGAAAGACTATGAACATACGTTATGTTGACCATGTGGTGGAGAGTCCATCAGAATCGACGGAGGGTCCGCTAATCCTAGGGAGTTACCCAACAGAGCCTTATCCTCTGTCGATATGAGTCAACGAAGAGTCCACGGTATCACGCAGAGCATTCGCCAATTTATAAAGTTGGTAGCCTGAGTACATGAGAACACCTAGTTTCCAGCGGAGAGTCCGTGACCTCTCACGGAGGGTCCGCTGAATTATAAAACTAGTCAACCAGAAACCCGAGACCTCCCAGTCGTCACCGGAGCGTCCGACACATGGCTCGGACCGTTCGATGGAGGATGCAAACCCAGAAATGCCTAAGTCCTAAACCACCGGAATGTTCTTTGGAACGTCCGCTAGGTAACGGAGTGTCTGTCACCTTCAATGGAGAGTCCGTCAACCCCAACTGAGTCAAACCAGAACTAAGTAACCTCGAAGCCCAACCCGACGGAGAATCCGCCGTAGATAGCGGAGGGTCCACTAGTTAATAGAAGGTGTGAGATTGTTTAGGAAGCTTACCCAAGTGGTCAACAATACTAGATCGAACCTAGATATAAATAGTGCAATAGTAGAGCCCTGTTGACATCTCTTCCCAAGTTCCAAATCAAGTCTCAATCTCTATCTCTATGTCTCTATTGATTATGTCCAATCTCGATCCCCGTTTCTTTCAGGAACTCGCTTAGTGTGAGGATGTGTATAAGTCATCATCGTCAGCTTCGGATTCGTTCGTACATCATAACCAGGCAGGCACCCCACTATTATAAGACCTATTTTGGATACTTACTTGTTTCATTGTGAATATGCATTTCATGCTAGAAGAGTTAATAAGCTAAATAATATTGCTTCATTAATTTAGAACTACTCAGTAATTAATTAGAGCCTCTCATCTAACAAATTGGGATGGGAACGTTTAATTGCTTAGTTCCGGTAGAAGTCGAGTTTGAGAAGTGAACTCACTCTCGCGCGTGTAGGATGCTACATCGGGTCTAATTAATTACTAAAACTTGAAGAGGGTTACAACTTATCTACTTCCCTAATCATGCCTGAGGACCAACCCCAATTTGAAATTTGAACTTGATGATCAATTTGGTAATTCTTGCTCATGCAGGGGGTAGGCCACTGTGAGTGTGGATCTCAATTGACGTAGCTCGTGGAGCAATTAAGGACCGTGCATTGGGATACGTGAGGCCGAGTAACCATCCGTACAGAACACATGTCGCATATGGAGGTGATAAGCCGAGTAAATAATTGTGACTGGTCTATCCGTGAAGCTGGCAAGAAGGTGGTGCCGGTTAGATGGTGGTAGCATTAACCGGGAGCTACTTGAACCTTTCGTCGGACATTCTGGCCGGGTTTGGGAAAGGTTGGAGATGTGAGGTAGCCCTTACCCTCGCGCATAGGTATGGTGGTTAGTCCCGTTCTTCCGTGTGGATATAGTTGTACACCTCTGCAGA